TTTTTTTTTTTTTTCTTTGTAGAATGCCAGTTATATTAGAAAGCGGCATGCCATTTCAGGGGGGTTGTTGTGCACCCCCTGCACTCTCTCCCTAGATCTCCCCCTAGACACTGCAAGCTATTGAAGACTTGGACCCTCAAATTACTGGCCTGTGTAACTGATGGGTATTCCCATGCAAGTGCTTTGTTTCAGTGGTATAGTTACAGATACAGCTCAATGATACTAGTGACTACAAGTTAGAGAATTTTCACAAGCAGCACATTTACAAGGGAAAATCTCTCCCTGCCTCATTACTTATGGTACTGGATGCCGCACACTTTTGTCAGCTTTATTCATGCAATTAAATAAATTTAGCGAATAAAAGGGAAAGCCACCTGAATACAAAACTTGACTGTGTTGCATTCCAAGCAACACTTTAATTCATGGTGCCAACCTTTGAAATAAATACACTTTTCTTTTTCCTTAATGGGAATTAGGGTTCTAAACCCTCACTGGCACCCCTTTTACCCAGGCCAGGCTTTGTCAAGTATCCCCGCCTGCCCCCAGCCCCTTTATTTACCCCATCCCCAGGACAAAGTGATACACCGAGCAGATTAGCCGAGTTGCAACGAGAGTCAAGTTTTAAGTGTACCTTTCACTTTGAGATTCCATTTAAGTTATTAAGTCTTCAAAATGGATCGCAAAATTAAATGGAAAGCTTCTCATAATTTCGGTCTTATCAACAATATTATTCATTACTAATTTCATTAATTTACTTATACATACCTGGATGTCGATATTCCGCAAAATGAGCAGGATTCTTACGATAACAATCGGCTCCATACTTGCATATCGGTCTGTCGTCGTACTTTCCGTCTCTTGTTTTTTTCTCTTTGGCCTCACTCATTCTGATGATCGGGTAGTTCTTTCCAAAAAATCTGAAAGTGGCGATTCCGGATTTTTAGCTCTTTCAGATCTAATAATAACATTAACTTCAGTAGAGAGCGATAGGTCTCTTTCCTTAATAGGTTTTGGAACTATTTCCAACCCAAGATGAGTTTTCTTAAGCCAGTTTTAGGAATCCGATAAAACGACACAAGATTTAACTTTTGCCGCCATCTTCTTTCTGTTACTAAATATCGCAGGCGCAGTTTTCGCATGCGCAAAGAGAAACCCGCCGTGTTTGGATTTTTCCGCTTAGAAAGCTTTTGCGAGTAAACGGTTATGGCGGAAGTTCATGTTATTGGCGAAATCATCGGTGCAAGTGGATTTCCCTCGCATAATCTATACTGTAAATGGTCTGTTCATGTTGACGGACTGTGGAAACTATTAGCTGGGCAAAAAGAGGGCCAAACACAAGTTGACAATCCCCAAAATGAAGACTGTGCGAGCTGGTGTCATCCCATCGACCTGCATTTTGCCACCAAAGGACTGAAAGGTTGGCCAAAGTTTCACTTTCAAGTTTGGCACCAAGATTCTTATGGAAGAAACGAGATCTACGGTTATGGATACTGTCACGTTCCGACCTCTCCTGGGACTCATCAAGTTGATTGCGTGACTTGGAGACCCCTTAGCTCAAGTAAATCTGAACAGCTTCGTAGCTTTTTCGTTGGCGGTTCGCCCCAGTTGAAAAATTCAGACGTTATTTACACTGGTGGAGACAGATATAAACTGAGAACTATTGCTATGGGGACGGTACATTTGCAATTGGGGGTCATAACGAGAAACTTTGACAAGTTTGGGGTGGAATGCTAAAGGAAATTATGATGATGAAATGCACATCTCTCAAAAAGTCAGTAACAAAACACAACAAGAAGAAGAAGCTGTTCATATTACCTCAACTTGTACCTCAAAGCTGCCAGCTTGTATATGCTTACGCAGGAATGTGTTTCAAGAAATTTTAAATGTTTACTTTCCAGACTAGCAAACATGCAAAAAGAAAACAAAAATAATTTGTGCTGATGGCATATGTTTTAACTTGGGACAGCTACATTTCATTTTATATCCACACCCCACCCATAAACGAAGTAAGTCAAAGTTCCCAAACCCCCCCCNCTCTCTCTCTCTCTCTCTCTCTCTCTCTCTCTCTCAAAGAAAAAAGATCAAGGCTGTGAGTTAATGGCTCCATCATTTCTTTCCCCCTTGGACTAAAATCAGCTTTCTTCCAAAACCTTTTGGAGATATTTAAAGGCTTGTTTATATTAAATTTTTGATTTCTACTATGATAATATAACTTGTAAAATCATATTTCAGGCAAGTGCAGGGGTTTCATTAAGGTTTTCAGCATGAGGCAACTGGTTTTCACACATGGACAAAACATGTTGAACTGAACTCCTTGATAAGAAAAATATTTCTCCAGATAGTCAAACCAAGCGAGCAAAATCATCCTCACGGCCGGTCAATTTACTTGAGAAGTCCTCGAAAAAAAGTTAAAATTTTATGTATGAAATTTCGGGAAAAAAACACTGTAATAATAAAGTTATTTTCTTCAGTAATTGTCTTCAAGCATAATGTGGTAACTTGTAGTTTTTATTTGCTATTTTTAAAGCTTGCAATGTTTGCCACTCTGTTCAGAATTTAAGAAAATGTACTGCTCTATAATTTGGGGAATTTGAGTGATATGGACAAAGACCTCAACTAACAGATCTGTTGCATTACTTTTTCCTCCATTTTTGGCACACCAAACATGTTTACTATTCATTTGAGTCCTTTCATATGGGAAATTTTAGCCCGGACGGCCGCGATGAAATTCAAAAAACAAATCCAAAATGGTGTAGCGCACTGAACTATAGGCTGACAAAAAGCTGAGGGTCCTGGCCTTGTCTTGACAGTGACATCAGTTTATTCAATCAAATAAATAAAATGTTTACTACAAAACCTGGTAAATGGACCAGGCTGACAATAAAAGCAAACTTCAGTCTATAAAAATTACACTGGAATGCCAAGGGGTTCTGAAAACGTTGTGCTAAAGCAAATGTTAACTTCTTTAAAAGAACCTAAGACAAGATCATGGCAGGATATGAGTCTGCCCCAAAATGTACATGTAAAATATATTTATGTCCATTGCAAGTTCCAAAAGACCATCTTCTTTTAGTTTTATTTAATATGTATTCAAATAAAATAACATCTGACTTCATGAGATGACCTTTTTGTGTCATCAAAAACCTTTTAAGGTCAATAAGGTGATTCCTCAGTATTGCATTGCGCATCCCTACTGCACACGATTTTCACGTCATTAGCGCATGCACACACACGATGTAAGAGATTTCCGTCAAGCTAAGCTTGACAGCAAAATTAATGCTTGCTTTCTTTTAAACAGGCACTGTAAGGTACCTTTTTTTATTGCATTAAATTAGTCTATAATTCATTGCCATTCCACTGAATGAGTAAGAAAAAATTTTGATGTCAGGTAAAAAAAAAATAATGCCAAAAATGTTTACTTACCCTTTCACTCATAACCTGAACCTTACCACCCCTAGAAGATACACGCTAGAAAAACGTTTAGTCAACTCTGATCTAAGATGAACATTTTGGCTAAGAAACATCAAATTGTTCCTTTAAGATGATGCAGTGTATCTATTGAGACATTGTAATATCAACTCCATGTCTTTGGCCAGTGATACTCCGAAAAGTAGCAGCATTCAGGAAAAGAAAAACACACTTACTGGGTACCATTGCACGGATTTTTGATGCACCTTTGACAAAATATAACTCTTAAACAAGCACCGTAACATATGTTTTTTATCGCACATGTATATCAAATACCTGCATTATTAGGAACAACCACAAAATATTTGAAAAAAATCTAACATCAAGTGTTATTTCTAGGGAATCACCTTAAAACTAAGTGGCCAGTTCTGAAAATTGACATAAATACTGGTAACTGGCAATGACTGTATCATCCATAATGGACTGTCACTATTTTCTTCCATCACTTACATGTAGTAACATAATACAACTTCCTACAAATTGTCCATTTTATAAAGAAATTCACTTGTAGTCTCAAGATTTTTCATGCTGTCATAGCAACAAGAAGATGAAGTACTGTTAATCTGCTCATCGATAGAGCGGTTTTCATTTGAGTGTTAAAATTAAAAAAAGTGGTTTTGCATCAACTACACTACACAATTAATTGGCTTAAAAACTCGCACCACTTTTTCATCCAATCAGAAGTACATGTAAAACCAAAACCAATCACAACTTGTTCACACACCCTTTCACATGCTTTGCGTCAGCTACGCGTAATAACTTCGAGTTTTGATTGAGTGGTTTGGGTTTTACATGTATGACACTCAATTGAAATCCAATCGACTGTACATCATTTGCTTCAGTCATTCGACAGTTGCGTTGCTTGAACTGCAATTGGCTTTTTAAATTTCATCATCTTCAAATCCCAAGTCTTCCTCTGGAAAATCACCAACAGTAACATCCTTAGGTTTGATAAATCCACCATATTTTTGTGGACAGGTGAAATATCTCTTTCCAGCAACACTGAAAGGAAAAGAATATATTAAGCAAGATTACAAGTCCTAACAAAGGGTAGAGGATTTCAAGCTTAACAGTGTAAGTGTACCATTGACTATTTAATTAGCATAAATTACTGTTACACTTGAACCTCCTGAAATCATTGTCAGTAAAATATTGCAAATAAAACCCCTATTAACTGGCCACCTCTATCTCCGGCCACCTTTTGGTCATCCCAATGAGGGTTTTTCTATTGTCTTTACCCCTATTAAGGAAGCACACAAAATTTAATACAACATAGAATGACTTTGTTTTGACAAATAAGAGTCCAAAATAGAACTGATAAAAATTACTGTTTAAGCACATGCTTAATATGATCATCTTGACATACAAGTTCACTGTGCAATTAACCTGATGGTGAAAGATAGTCAAAATACATGAACCCCTATTAAGCAGCCACCTCCCATTTCCCAAAGGGTAGCCATTTAATAGGGAATCATCTGCAGTAGTTTGAAAACAATAGTTCCTACCTGCCATCATTTTTCCCAAAAGGTTCATCATACTTAACACCAACCCACCAGCCTGGTTTGAAGTCTGTGTGGCCTTTAAATAATAACACCAAGACAGATAATAACAGTCAGCCTGAATTTTCTAGTTCATCCAGCAGCTCAGACAACATAAATATTTTGAGATCAGGAGATCCGGCTGAGATCTTTCTCCAACCCAATTCTCCCTGGGGGTTATGGCAAAAAGTGAAGCGAAAATGAAGTGAGATCAATTTATTGAGTTCTTAGGCAAGATACTTAATCATTAGGCTTAATGTCCTTCTATCCATCTTGGGAGTACGAATTTGTAAGTATCTACATGTAGTGTGGAAATGGTTATTAAGTCAGTCTTTCAAATTGGTGGGAGTAACCATTTACAAATTAGCATATCTCCCCCTAGGGGAGTTAAATCTGCAAGAATAATCCTAGCCTTGTTGTGCTGCAGAGACTGGAGTTAACCACAGACCATAAAGCTATTAGACCCCATGAAAAAGACATACAGTAGAACATTATTAATAGAGGTGTATAACAAATAGAATGACTGTCATCCAACAGTCAAACAACTTCCTTACCTACAAACATGACCACACCACGCCTAGAAGGTTGATTAGTAACTCTGACCTCACACCGAGAACCAACGGCAATAGCTTTAGCGGCAGCTTCTTCCTGTTGTTCCTTCTCTTTCTCCTGTTGAATTTCTTCAGGTGTTTTCTGTTTAAATTGGCCCAGCTTATTTCTTTCTTTGAAGGCTCTCACAGAGTCTGTGTAAAAAAATAATGCAATCATGTTATTTTCAAGAAAAAAAAATAGAAGTTGTGGCTCATGCAAGGGAATACATTTTTAGAAATCTCCATGAATAAAATTATTACAGGCTCAATTTTCATTTTATCAACCACTGATGCTCTGTACTGCATCTACATCCACGAAAACATGTGGCGTGGTCGTATGAGCTGTTTTGATCAGGATGTGGCATTTAGTAATGTTAACACTTCGGAAAAACACACCAAATACGAGCAGGAAGAGTGAAAGCATTCTTTTCAGCCTTCATGGCAGTCGAAGAGGTCCTGGTACTTTCATTTGTACCTGAATTTTCTGTATTCACTGACAGTTGCAACTCCAGACATGATGTACTGGGAAACTAGTCCCGTGAAAATAATAAAAAAGTAAAGTTTCCATTTACATTTTGTTTAATTGCAATTCTTCCTTATTGAACAGGCAAGTAAAATTTTGCCAGGGCAGGTATGTCATCTGGCATACTTACCCAGCTGACAATTTAGAGAAAAAAAAACCCAATGAATTATTCAATATGGATCCCTGTTAATAACAATATTACTGTGCATGTCTACTCTTAGACTGCTTAAATTAAATACATTTAATTTACTATAGGGAGAAAAAAGATGCATATCTCTCTTACAAAACACTTTCCTAAAACAAGAACTACTGAATGAAGCTGAACTCTTGACAACAAGCTGTTCACTTAATGATACTGAATTGTTTGCTAGAAAAATATAGGCTTGCAATGCAAGTTATGGATTACACATGTAAAGGGCTTCGGCCTTGCATTGCAAGACTGAATGTTACCACTACTAGCCAATAATCCATGACCTACCAGTTCTCTTTGAATAATCTTCAGTGCTCATCTCATATTTTTCTACCGCAGATAAGTCTTCAAATTCTCCTGCCTTTTTCGCAGGGTCTTTATCCACAACCTTATGATTAGATCCAAAGTGTTTGTGTTATAATCATTTACTGATTGACAGAGTAAGGCTTTCGCTAGATTACTGTACATCACTGATGGATGGGTCCAAATAACGCTTAATTGATGAACAGGTGCTTGTAAGAATGAGCCAGATGGAAAGGTGCATTGTGATAAACCATGCTCATGTGATATTACGTGTAATAGCACATTAAAACTTATAAAATTCAAATTATCTTCAATACTCAAAATATAAGAATATTCGTAGAGGCACAAAATGCTCATCCCAGAAACAGAGAAAACCAGCAGTTTGTTGTAAACAGTCAGATATCCTCTCCGTATAACCAATTCTTCCTCTACCCGCCACAAGAGAAAACTGAGATCTGGGCAGCCAGAAAAAATTTCCAACTGTCTCATAAAAATTATCTGCATTTCTATACAGTATATTATAAATGTACTGGTGTTCAATCACAATCACAAATGCTGTTCTCTGATTGGCTGCACTACTCACTATTGATTCTGTTGCAGATAGTGAATAGCCTAGCATTGTGCAGTTGCTGACAAAATTGCGGCAGCTTCTTTGGGAGCTACTTTTTTTAAACGGAAAACACTTACTTTGTTTCAATTGTCAACAGCTTGTGCTGGGTCTGTGTTTTTAATGAGTATTTGTATAAATCTACTAGCATTCTATCACGAATGCTGTTCTCTGATTGGCTACGCTACTCAGTATCTATTCTGTGATAGATAGTCAGTAGCATAGCGGTGTGCCCTTGTTAACAAAATGACGGCTGTTGGCGTTTCTGAAGTGTCTGTAAAGAGGATTAAGATAAAGCTTTGAACTACTGGTAGATTTATACTAAAACAATNATTTTATGTATGAAATTTCGGGAAAAAAACACTGTAATAATAAAGTTATTTTCTTCAGTAATTGTCTTCAAGCATAATGTGGTAACTTGTAGTTTTTATTTGCTATTTTTAAAGCTTGCAATGTTTGCCACTCTGTTCAGAATTTAAGAAAATGTACTGCTCTATAATTTGGGGAATTTGAGTGATATGGACAAAGACCTCAACTAACAGATCTGTTGCATTACTTTTTCCTCCATTTTTGGCACACCAAACATGTTTACTATTCATTTGAGTCCTTTCATATGGGAAATTTTAGCCCGGACGGCCGCGATGAAATTCAAAAAACAAATCCAAAATGGTGTAGCGCACTGAACTATAGGCTGACAAAAAGCTGAGGGTCCTGGCCTTGTCTTGACAGTGACATCAGTTTATTCAATCAAATAAATAAAATGTTTACTACAAAACCTGGTAAATGGACCAGGCTGACAATAAAAGCAAACTTCAGTCTATAAAAATTACACTGGAATGCCAAGGGGTTCTGAAAACGTTGTGCTAAAGCAAATGTTAACTTCTTTAAAAGAACCTAAGACAAGATCATGGCAGGATATGAGTCTGCCCCAAAATGTACATGTAAAATATATTTATGTCCATTGCAAGTTCCAAAAGACCATCTTCTTTTAGTTTTATTTAATATGTATTCAAATAAAATAACATCTGACTTCATGAGATGACCTTTTTGTGTCATCAAAAACCTTTTAAGGTCAATAAGGTGATTCCTCAGTATTGCATTGCGCATCCCTACTGCACACGATTTTCACGTCATTAGCGCATGCACACACACGATGTAAGAGATTTCCGTCAAGCTAAGCTTGACAGCAAAATTAATGCTTGCTTTCTTTTAAACAGGCACTGTAAGGTACCTTTTTTTATTGCATTAAATTAGTCTATAATTCATTGCCATTCCACTGAATGAGTAAGAAAAAATTTTGATGTCAGGTAAAAAAAAAATAATGCCAAAAATGTTTACTTACCCTTTCACTCATAACCTGAACCTTACCACCCCTAGAAGATACACGCTAGAAAAACTTTTAGTCAACTCTGATCTAAGATGAACATTTTGGCCAAGAAACATCAAATTGTTCCTTTAAGATGATGCAATGTATCTATTGAGACATTGTAATATCAACTCCATGTCTTTGGCCAGTGATACCCCGAAAAGTAGCAGCATTCAGAAAAAGAAAAACACACTTACTGGGTACCATTACACGGATTTTTGATGTACCTTTGACAAAATATAACTCTTAAACAAGCACCGTAACATATGTTTTTTATCGCACATGTATATCAAATACCTGCATTATTAGGAACAACCACAAAATATTTGAAAAAAATCTAACATCAAGTGTTATTTCTAGGGAATCACCTTAAAACTAAGTGGCCAGTTCTGAAAATTGACATAAATACTGGTAACTGGCAATGACTGTATCATCCATAATGGACTGTCACTATTTTCTTCCATCACTTACATGTAGTAACATAATACAACTTCCTACAAATTGTCCATTTTATAAAGAAATTCACTTGTAGTCTCAAGATTTTTCATGCTGTCATAGCAACAAGAAGATGAAGTACTGTTAATCTGCTCATCGATAGAGCGGTTTTCATTTGAGTGTTAAAATTAAAAAAAGTGGTTTTGCATCAACTACACTACACAATTAATTGGCTTAAAAACTCGCACCACTTTTTCATCCAATCAGAAGTACATGTAAAACCAAAACCAATCACAACTTGTTCACACACCCTTTCACATGCTTTGCGTCAGCTACGCGTAATAACTTCGAGTTTTGATTGAGTGGTTTGGGTTTTACATGTATGACACTCAATTGAAATCCAATCGACTGTACATCATTTGCTTCAGTCATTCGACAGTTGCGTTGCTTGAACTGCAATTGGCTTTTTAAATTTCATCATCTTCAAATCCCAAGTCTTCCTCTGGAAAATCACCAACAGTAACATCCTTAGGTTTGATAAATCCACCATATTTTTGTGGACAGGTGAAATATCTCTTTCCAGCAACACTGAAAGGAAAAGAATATATTAAGCAAGATTACAAGTCCTAACAAAGGGTAGAGGATTTCAAGCTTAACAGTGTAAGTGTACCATTGACTATTTAATTAGCATAAATTACTGTTACACTTGAACCTCCTGAAATCATTGTCAGTAAAATATTGCAAATAAAACCCCTATTAACTGGCCACCTCTATCTCCGGCCACCTTTTGGTCATCCCAATGAGGGTTTTTCTATTGTCTTTACCCCTATTAAGGAAGCACACAAAATTTAATACAACATAGAATGACTTTGTTTTGACAAATAAGAGTCCAAAATAGAACTGATAAAAATTACTGTTTAAGCACATGCTTAATATGATCATCTTGACATACAAGTTCACTGTGCAATTAACCTGATGGTGAAAGATAGTCAAAATACATGAACCCCTATTAAGCAGCCACCTCCCATTTCCCAAAGGGTAGCCATTTAATAGGGAATCATCTGCAGTAGTTTGAAAACAATAGTTCCTACCTGCCATCATTTTTCCCAAAAGGTTCATCATACTTAACACCAACCCACCAGCCTGGTTTGAAGTCTGTGTGGCCTTTAAATAATAACACCAAGACAGATAATAACAGTCAGCCTGAATTTTCTAGTTCATCCAGCAGCTCAGACAACATAAATATTTTGAGATCAGGAGATCCGGCTGAGATCTTTCTCCAACCCAATTCTCCCTGGGGGTTATGGCAAAAAGTGAAGCGAAAATGAAGTGAGATCAATTTATTGAGTTCTTAGGCAAGATACTTAATCATTAGGCTTAATGTCCTTCTATCCATCTTGGGAGTACGAATTTGTAAGTATCTACATGTAGTGTGGAAATGGTTATTAAGTCAGTCTTTCAAATTGGTGGGAGTAACCATTTACAAATTAGCATATCTCCCCCTAGGGGAGTTAAATCTGCAAGAATAATCCTAGCCTTGTTGTGCTGCAGAGACTGGAGTTAACCACAGACCATAAAGCTATTAGACCCCATGAAAAAGACATACAGTAGAACATTATTAATAGAGGTGTATAACAAATAGAATGACAGTCATCCAACAGTCAAACAACTTCCTTACCTACAAACATGACCACACCACGCCTAGAAGGTTGATTAGTAACTCTGACCTCACACCGAGAACCAACGGCAATAGCTTTAGCGGCAGCTTCTTCCTGTTGTTCCTTCTCTTTCTCCTGTTGAATTTCTTCAGGTGTTTTCTGTTTAAATTGGCCCAGCTTATTTCTTTCTTTGAAGGCTCTCACAGAGTCTGTGTAAAAAAATAATGCAATCATGTTATTTTCAAGAAAAAAAAATAGAAGTTGTGGCTCATGCAAGGGAATACATTTTTAGAAATCTCCATGAATAAAATTATTACAGGCTCAATTTTCATTTTATCAACCACTGATGCTCTGTACTGCATCTACATCCACGAAAACATGTGGCGTGGTCGTATGAGCTGTTTTGATCAGGATGTGGCATTTAGTAATGTTAACACTTCGGAAAAACACACCAAATACGAGCAGGAAGAGTGAAAGCATTCTTTTCAGCCTTCATGGCAGTCGAAGAGGTCCTGGTACTTTCATTTGTACCTGAATTTTCTGTATTCACTGACAGTTGCAACTCCAGACATGATGTACTGGGAAACTAGTCCCGTGAAAATAATAAAAAAGTAAAGTTTCCATTTACATTTTGTTTAATTGCAATTCTTCCTTATTGAACAGGCAAGTAAAATTTTGCCAGGGCAGGTATGTCATCTGGCATACTTACCCAGCTGACAATTTAGAGAAAAAAAAACCCAATGAATTATTCAATATGGATCCCTGTTAATAACAATATTACTGTGCATGTCTACTCTTAGACTGCTTAAATTAAATACATTTAATTTACTATAGGGAGAAAAAAGATGCATATCTCTCTTACAAAACACTTTCCTAAAACAAGAACTACTGAATGAAGCTGAACTCTTGACAACAAGCTGTTCACTTAATGATACTGAATTGTTTGCTAGAAAAATATAGGCTTGCAATGCAAGTTATGGATTACACATGTAAAGGGCTTCGGCCTTGCATTGCAAGACTGAATGTTACCACTACTAGCCAATAATCCATGACCTACCAGTTCTCTTTGAATAATCTTCAGTGCTCATCTCATATTTTTCTACCGCAGATAAGTCTTCAAATTCTCCTGCCTTTTTCGCAGGGTCTTTATCCACAACCTTATGATTAGATCCAAAGTGTTTGTGTTATAATCATTTACTGATTGACAGAGTAAGGCTTTCGCTAGATTACTGTACATCACTGATGGATGGGTCCAAATAACGCTTAATTGATGAACAGGTGCTTGTAAGAATGAGCCAGATGGAAAGGTGCATTGTGATAAACCATGCTCATGTGATATTACGTGTAATAGCACATTAAAACTTATAAAATTCAAATTATCTTCAATACTCAAAATATAAGAATATTCGTAGAGGCACAAAATGCTCATCCCAGAAACAGAGAAAACCAGCAGTTTGTTGTAAACAGTCAGATATCCTCTCCGTATAACCAATTCTTCCTCTACCCGCCACAAGAGAAAACTGAGATCTGGGCAGCCAGAAAAAATTTCCAACTGTCTCATAAAAATTATCTGCATTTCTATACAGTATATTATAAATGTACTGGTGTTCAATCACAATCACAAATGCTGTTCTCTGATTGGCTGCACTACTCACTATTGATTCTGTTGCAGATAGTGAATAGCCTAGCATTGTGCAGTTGCTGACAAAATTGCGGCAGCTTCTTTGGGAGCTACTTTTTTTAAACGGAAAACACTTACTTTGTTTCAATTGTCAACAGCTTGTGCTGGGTCTGTGTTTTTAATGAGTATTTGTATAAATCTACTAGCATTCTATCAAGAATGCTGTTCTCTGATTGGCTACACTACTCAGTATCTATTCTGTGATAGATAGTCAGTAGCAAAGCGGTGTGCCCTTGTTAACAAAATGACGGCTGCATCTTGGCGTTTCAGAAGTGTCTGTAAAGAGGATTAAGATAAAGCTTTGAACTACTGGTAGATTTATACTAAAACAATTAGATTATTCACTCTCAATTTCTATGAATGATAGTTGATCATGACTCGGGCTGCACACTCATCAACTATCACACAATAGAAATTTCTAGCTCATAATCTAATAATTATTGTTTAATAGATGTGCAGCTTTTGGCTCATGCTTTCTTACAGGGTGTTTCCTAAATAGCTATACAGAGGTTTGTGTTACTGAGCCTCAGATTTTATCATGTTCTACAGGACTTAATATAATTCCCACCTTACACTCTGGCAATTATAGACATTATACCATGCCACAGAAAATACAGCCAATCAGAATACAGGAAAGCCGTTGTGTACTCGTCAGTATTACACTCAACCTTACTACTGTGTGCCACTCATATGTCTTATTGATTGCGTTGGCCACTGTATTTTCTATGGCATGTTACTACGAATCTACTAGCGTTCTATCACGAATGCTGTTCTCTGCTTAGCTACGCTACTCACTATGTATTCTGTGATACATATAGATAGTGAATAGCGTAGCAGTGTGCCCTTGTTAAAAACATCATGGCCACTTTTTGGCATTTTAAAGTATCTGTGAAGAGGATTTAGATAAAGTTTTGAATGACTAGTAGATTTATACTAAAGCAATTAGATTATTTGCTCTCGATTTCTATGCGTGATAGTTGACGAGGGCTACACCCTCGTCAACGCCCTCGTCAACTATCATGCGAATCCCGAGCTCATAATCTAATTGCTTAATATAAAAGAGTCATGCAATGCTCTCTCATGGTATACCATGGAATATTATCCCACTTGTCACTTGTATTTTCTTGGTATACAGTCAATTGACTTGTGAGATGTTCCATGGCATACCAATCAGATGCCTTGCATAACTAGTATACAGTAAAGATGTACCTACATGTAATCTCATATTATTGTCAACTGGATAAGCACCAAGTAAAGCATCCTCGTTATTAAGAATACATAAGAACTTTCCTTCTGTGTCTAAAAGTTGAATTTCCATTGTCATTGCTGAGCAACCCGTGATGAGTTCCAGTTTCCCCTAGAAAAAAAACAACAACAACAACAACAGACACATGTCATATATTCAGCTAGAAGAGATTGTCTAGGTGGTCTAAATATACCCAGTCTCTGAGAAAATCATAAAAAATAGTCATACTAATGCCTGGCAATAATGCATAGATATATACCGTTCGCTGGTAAAGATTGAGAAGTATTCCAAACCTGGTGCCAATCAACCAGATCTCAAATCAGTTCTAGAGTTTAGTTGTCATTTACATATGGTATGAAGCAACCTGAAGATGGGGGTGGGGAGGGGGGGGGATTACTTGTATGCATTTCCCTATTTAATTTTCACCTTTTAGTTTACGTCTCTCATCACTCAGTTAAAACAGATGTTTTTTTTGTGTTTGAAAGATGTTTTATACCTTCCTGCTTATCAACTCTTCCACCCATTTCCACCCCAATGATTAAGGCATTAACTTAATTAAGTTTATCTAACTCAGGTTGTTTCAAAATGCACAAAAATAATAAGAGACGTTATTGTAGTAATTTTAGGAACAATTCTAAATTCAAACATCCTCTTCGCTTCCAGTTTGAGATGGGGTATACAAATCAAGTTAATATGTAACTCTGATTTTCTTCAGCAAGGTAGGGGATTCCCAGACCCCAGTGAAGCAATCCACTCAGGGTATCCTTGGCAATTCACTGGTATCAATTGATAACTCTAACTAGAGAAAGGAACTGAGCGTAACTAGGAGCGATAGGATCACAACACAAAACAAGTTGCGAAGAGAGAGAGAAGAAAAAAAAAATGTCTACATGAAAGTGGCATTATAACAGATATCTGACATACACCCAACTGTTGTCGTTAATTTTGTCTGGTTTCCCAGTGATATACTCGCTATTCTTACCACAAATCGGAAGAAATGAAAGGAAAAAATTAATAAAACTTGTTAAAAAACAAATTTTAGCTAATTTTCTAAAGTTGCCAGGTTCAAAAACTCAATCTAAAACACAAGTTGATACCTTTAAAGTGGAGATCGTTTCGTTTCTTTGCAACCTCTTTTCTGATGTGAAAGAAGTCATTGAGCTTGTAATCTGAACAGACACGGTACTAGGAGTATCGATACCCGCCATTGTATCTATTTTTTGGAGCAAAAAATAGTGAAAGTGGTCGCGAAAATGTGTAATAAAGAGAGAGAAAGAGAGAGAAGAAATGACAACTCCTTTCTTTTATCGCGGGCTCAAGACCAATTCTCAACAAGGATTGGTTCGAATAGAACACGTGACGATAGTCAAAATATGGCGGCAAGAACAGAACGAACGATGTAAAAAACAGCGTCACTTTTTCATGTTTTATTTCATCAGTGGTAGGGAAAATGCGGCTAAATTGTGAAATATTGATCGTAAATCGATCAGCTCCTTCGCATAACATGCGAAACGCAAGCAAACCTACGCGTGCTTCTTTGGCCATCGGACGAAAAGAGACTTCAAAACATGTTGCAGTCGAGAACCGGAAGGCTGCTGTGTTTCTTTTAGTTTGTACTGCGAAGGAGAGGAACGGGGCAAAATATAAGGTTTGTGCAAGACAACCCAACATTTAACAAGATATTCGTAATGAACATAATATTTTACGTTCAAGTAAGGCTTAAGAAAGTGACTTGACCATATAGGCTGTTCAAAGCCTGCTAACCTTCTGTGTCTCCTGTCAGATTGGTTCATTTCAGATTTGTTAACTTGTTGATTCCTTCTCTAGGTTAAAGAGAACCTGCAGCAGGTGTTCTCAAAGTTTCTTGACAAAGGAAAGGCAACAATTCGATTAAAGGAACCTCCACATGATCTATTTATTAACAAGGTACTGATGTAAACTTTAGGTTAATATGTAAGCTTAGGGTATGTTCCTTTGGGGTGATCTGGATCAGCGATCCAAGATCACTCAGATCATGGTGCATCAAAGGAACCGATGAATCCACTCTGATCTCAGATTCATCGGTTCCTTTGGTGCACCATGATCCGAGTGATCTTGGATCCTTGATACTGATCCTGATCATCCCAAAGGAATGCACCCTTACCTACACCCCACCCCCACACTACATAGGAAGATAAGCTAAATATAGGACATCATAGTTTCAGCTTACAAATGGGGCAAGCCCAAAAATTGGTTTTCTTTGCACCCTGATCTATAAATTAACACTGACCCAGTTATTGCAGACCCCTGTATTTCAAGCTATTTTCTGTTCTTTTCTCTCTGGCAGTTTGAAAAAGACGTAGGTAGGGGGTAAACTCTGCATATGAGTTAAGTGGCCCATTAGGCCAGCACTTGTATTGTCTCTGGTTTCCATAGCATGAGGTGACTAGGAGCATTTCTACTCCCCCTGGATGAGATGCTAGTTCACTGCAGGGTTACCCCCAGCATTAAATTGGTCAGTACCCATTTGTACACCTGAGTGGAGAGAAGCACTGTGAGAGTGAAGTTTGTTGCCCAAAGTCACAAGATAATGACCCCAGCCAGGGCTCAGACCACTCAATCTGGAGTCAAGGGCACAAAACATGAGGTCACCGTGCCTCCCACTTGGTTGGTATTCAACAGTGAACTGTATCTGCAGTAAAACATTCAGAACGATGACGACTTGTTCTGAAATGCTTTGGGTGTAAAAGCAAGACCTCACCAGCAGACTATTTGTAGTGTAAGAAGTAGATTCTTGTTCTTTTAATCTTTTATTTACTTTTCTGATAGGCTGATCCATCAGGTCTCAAAACGTTTCTGTCGATACTTAAACTTGGAGACAAAGAGCTACAAAAGGTCAACCTGTCCTGCCTGGCTCCTGCAAAGATCTCAGACATAGAAAAACCCAAAACTGATATGGTGATCTCACGACGAGGTGATTATCCACTTGGGAAGCCTTTTCCAAGTACACTTAACAAGTTGACTGTTAACAACTGTGGACTTGTTCGAATTGAAGCCCGTATCCTGCAGATGAGCAGTTTGTCATGTTTAAATGTTGCCGACAATCAAATTAAGTCAGTGCCTTGCAGATTGACCAATTTGTCTGGATTGTCTGAGCTAGTTTTACGTGGCAACAGGATCCGGGAGTTTCCACCTTCACTCTGCACTGGGGCCTTGGCATCGTCTTTGAAGCTTTTGGATCTCAGCCAAAATGAAATCAAACTTCTACCTGTGGCATTTTGCAACTTAAAGAGCCTTGTTCATTTAAAACTAGATCAAAACCATCTCCTCATGTTACCAGTAAACATTGGAAAGCTTTCAAGTTTACGATTCTTCTCTGCCAGTCATAATCAGCTCAAGGTTTTACCTCATAGTTTATCTAAATTAAAGCTGGAATCAATGGACGTGTCACAAAATACCTTTCTCGATCAGGACAAATGGAAGATTGTAAGCAAGTTAACTGTTCCATCATTGAAGGAATGTGCAGGAATTGCTGTCAAGAAACATGGGTAAGTTTAAATCTAGAGATTGTTCATTATAGCACTGTTTGGCATAGCACTTCACATGGGAGGATATAAGGTGTGCTCCTCTTCCCCCCCTCCCCCTTTCACCACTACCACCACGCTTCCACCTGCATGGGTCAGAGACATTTGAGATCTTGGGCCTGATCAGGGAGATTTGGATTGAACATTAGCAATAACATACGAATTGGCTGTTTTCAATTTGGTTTCTAATAACATTAGGTATATGGGTACTGACAGGCTGTTAGGGAAACCTGTGGAGTACCTAACCTGAGTTAATGAGCATCTCTTCCGCGGGGAGAAGCAATACTCCTAAAGCACTTCACGACATGGGAAATGGGATAGTTTGCCAGTGTGGGCAGGTAGTTTGATTGCACCTTCAGATTTACCTCTACAGTAAATTCCAGATCAGGCCAAATGGCCAATATATAGAGATGGTCCTTATCCAAGTTTCTGTAGCATGAAACAACTAGGAGTACTGTATCTCTACATCCCCCAGGTGGGATGCCATTGAATCGCAGGGTTACACCCTGAGCATTAAATTTGCTGGTCCCCGTTTATAAACCTGGGTGGAGAGAGGGAGGACAGCAAAGTTTCTCACCCAAGAACATAAATCAATGGTAAGTGCCAACTGTTAGGCCTCCGCACCTGCACTAGCTGTACAGTCAGTATAGGTACATGTAAGCTAACAACATTAATTTAGTTCTCATTTCTTTTTAGGTGTTCATATTCCAAGGTAGTCATTCCATCATCCCTCTGTGTATATCTGGACACTGTTAAACAGTGCCTGTGTGGAAACTACTGCTTTAAATCATGTGTCCACTACATTGTGACAATCAACATTCATCACTTAGCCCATACAGTGGTGTCCGTGTGTCCAACCCAAAGCCACTTACCGGCAGAAGGCTTCCTTTGTTCCAGAAAGTGTCTTCAACGGTTGCAAAACAGTAAGAGACCATACTGGAGGTAGCTGCGCAGTGGCTTCTTAATCCATTTGCCCAAAATGGACGCAGGCCAACACTAAAATGCACAGAAACCTTTCCTCACTCCAACAAGGGTCTCTGTGATTGATATCAAAACAGTATGAGACTACACTAGAAGAAGTATATTTTTATTCAATGAAACTAAAAATGCTGTCAAAATTTGACTATTACGGCAAAGAGATTTTTTCCTAAAGTGTATGCCCTGTAGTACACTTGAATGAGCAAACAAAACTCAAGCAATTATCTGCCTCTGACCTGTATCTGCTACACAGATTGTAAGTTCCCTGCTTGTTGTACTTCAGTGGCACCGACATATTGTAAATGCTTCTCATACATTGTACATGTAGATAAATAAGATTAGAGTTAATAAATGTGGCTGTGATATTAGAGTTCATTAATTATTTCATTCTCAGAATGACAAAGCATTTAGAACAAAGCTTTGTTCTTTGAAAAAGGTCATGTCTGGAAGGTACTTTTTCTAAATCTGTTGAGATATGAACACTAGCTATTTAAATCAGTGTTACTGATGTGGACCGCGCGAAATAACCGTTATTATTAAAAACTGGATCATTAGATCATGCAACTCGAGAGTTTTCATTGGCTTAACCATCACAGTATATGAGCCATTACACCGTGCTCCACAAATATGGTAAGCGTGCACGTGAATTTTTCGGGCGTTTTTTTTTTTAGTTAAGTTTTCTATTGGCTATCTACAATCTCATATCCAGCGCGCGCTCGTGGAATAATTGTGTAAAAGTACCGAGCACGAATGGTCTGGATAATACGAGAAAACAGAAGGACTTTCGACGTTCCAAATCACCTTTTCTGAATGATGATAAATTATTCAAAACCCAGTCCAATTTATTCTTACCTGTCAAATGAAGCATGATATATTTCTAAATGCCAATACTTGTTTCGTATTTCTAATTCCCAGAACAAAAACACGGAAGTCTGACAAACTCGATAACACCACAGGCCATATTTTTACAAACGTACCGCGATAAAATCTTGAGGACATTTCTCGAACTTAAATTTTCACATTTTGCATTTTAATTTCTGGTTTGTTTTTTATGTTTTCCTTTTAAAACACGAAACAAATTTTATAGTCATTGGAGAAATTTCCCGTTGACACGATCTACAAAATTCAAACATTCTTTCGTCAGAAGGAACATCAATGCAACTAAAGCGCTACCTTACCTTACAAACTGGAAACTACCGTGAAAGATTTTAGCGGGGATCTACTAATGACGATAAGCTCGCAAAAGTTCTACTTTACCGGTAACATTCGGCACTTCTAAAAGAACTCGGAAAACGATTACAAGAAAGTCGAAGAGAAAAGCCCAAAGACATCGAAGTATTGAGTCTAAACAAGAGAACATGAGGAGCGAGAGAGTGAAACCCCCATATAGGCCTGGGAAACGTGTCTAAAAATAACTCGAGAGGGACTGCCTTAACAATCAGGCCCATATGAAGGATTAACTGTCACTTTCCATCCTCTGTTGAGCCAAGATTTGGACGGGGAAGGGGTATTTTTCGGTTTCAGCCCTCTTAAACGACACCACGTTTTGCAAGTGCAGTAAACAACCTCTAAAGAGAGGCAAAAGAGAGAGAGCCTGCGTTGAGGTTGTGTGTTGAATTGACGCCGTCGTGCGTGAGTAGCCTGCGTAGCTGGCCGTATTTAGCGCGCGAGTGCTTTTGTCTTCAATCCCGAGAGGGGATTGGCGAATTTCCTCGCGCTGCGCGAGGGGAAAAAATGACCAAATATCGCTTGCTCACGAATCCCGCCAGCCACGCAGCCAGTAGACCGTATTCGTATTCCCGGTATTAGACTGGAACTAGCTTGAAACTGAGGCTAATGCGGGAGGTGTTTAAAATGCAAATGATATTTATCGCTTTTTAATGATATTTCCCCGCAAGCTATTTCCAGTCCAACACCGAGAATGTGGTCTATTACAATTACGTTATGACGGAGACGCGATGTCCTGTTGTGATGATTATGTGTCGAAGAACCGTGCTGTAACTACTGAAAGTTTTAAAATCTGAACCTTTTCTACCTACCATGCCTCTCGCAAGTACTGGAAGTTTTAAACACTGCACTTTTTCTACCCTCCATATAACATTAATTAGCTGTGGTGAAATTCTATTTCAATTAAAATCCGTTAAGTAGTGGGCTTAGTTATCGTTCAGCTACTCCTGATTTCATTGTATTCGCCACCATTTAGAAATTCATCTAATGAATAAACAGATATCATTACAAGGAAGAAAAAAAATTCAATACCCTGCATAGTTTGAAAGAAAAACGATTCAAACGATAGATAAAAGCTTGAAATATTGTTAGGCTTTCGTGTGTTTGGATCGAGACCCTTGTCGCACAACTCCACAAAAACGTTGTTGAAATTTGACGTTTTTCAAAACATGTCTTAGTTGTAACAGACCTAAATCGACCGAAGCTACTTAACTTAAGGACGTTCGTGCCCAAAATGTTCCCACGTACAGTTTTTTTAAAGCTTGCCATACAGTAAGGTAAATACCAATTTTTGCCATAAAGGCCAAAAAATACGGGGGTCACCGTGCTCGTTTTGGAGATCAGGTGCATCGAAGACCATGCGTTTTTACAAGCTCTCGTTCTCCTAATACGATCTTAGCTTAAAAATATCAGCAGCAAAAGAAATTTTGATCAGGTAAACCTACTCAATTTAACACAAGTTAGTCTATTAAGTAATGTCGTTCCTTGAGGGAGAATAGGCCTTGAAAAAGAACGAATATTATTAGTCTTTCCTATCCAAAAAGAATGAATATTATTAGTCTTTCCCATCCACATTCGAAGAAACCTTCGGTCGCATTAGGGCAGAAAATGCGAAATATTTGAAACTTCCCTCGTACAGATTTTTTTTCTGTTTTTTTTCTGTTTTTTTTTTTTCTGTAGGAAAGGAATTGATCTATGAAAAGAAAAGAGGGCGTCACCGACCATTTAAGAGAGTAAATTGCAGGCGAAGTTAGCTGGTGCCAAGCCTATACTTGCTTATCTTCCCTTCTTACAGCGCGCGCTTGATATGTATGACTTGGGTGACGTTGCAGCGTGAATCACGCGCGCAGTAAGGATGTGCAGAAACAATAGGCCTGAACGTCAGTCGCTATTCTAAGATTAAATTAATTTCGATAAATGTACGCTAATGAGGCATATAAAATATTGCGCTATCAAAAGACTTACCCTATTGTGACGCGCAAAGTTAATTGATTAATTGATAGATAATTTTTTATTGACTGATTTGAATGCGATCTGAAGCGCGCGCGCGCCAACAAAGAAAGTCGCACACGATTTGACACATGGCGGCAAGGACGCGCCTACAGGATCAATCCACACAGGAGGCAAAATTTAATATCTTAAACCCTGATGGCGCGTTCGCAGCCGAGGACGCGCAGCCAGGCTCCCTGCAGCAACACTGCCGCACGTTCATTTTGCAGGCGATGGGACTGAAGCGCTTGGCACGTATTGTCGATCTTCCGATCCCGAAGACGATGATCAATTTCTTAGCCAATCAGCTTACAGTGGACGACTTTTACGTCAACCGAAATAACTTGAACTCTCAGCACATTTCGCACTGCGTGTACCCGGCCAAGTGCCTTCTCGACATGTCCGAGGTATTGTTAAAGTGCGTGCCTCCCTGCTTAGCAGATGATCGCGTTAAATCCGCCATGGAGGCTTGGAGTGGGGTAAGCCATCCAAATATTATGCAAAGTCTAGTGCAGTTCAGCCAGGGAGGCACCGACATTATTGTATTTGAATACCCTCCCGTTGCCCTTCTGGACATTCTTCATGAGCGTAAAGGACTGCGGAGACTATTGCCGGAATACCTAATATGGAAAGCGCTTTGTGAGCTGTCCTCAGCCTTGAAGTACCTAAACGACAAAGGAATTATCTACGAAACTTCCACGCCAATCGACCGCATCTCTTTTGATGAAAACGGAACATTAAAACTGGACAGTGGCTTGTTGTACATGGCTTCTGCGCAAGACAACATGAACGCCATGGCTATGGGGGATAACGGCACGGGAATTTATTCCCCTCCGGAAATTTTGAAAGGACAGGTATTTAGCCCTGGAAGTCAAGTATGGCTCCTTGGGTGCGTGCTATACGAGCTCGCTACAATGGAACCCCCATATAAGATTGTAGGAACAGACATGTTTAGCGCTCTGGCTAACATCATGGAAGGCAGACCCCCTGAAGATATTAACGAGAACTTCTCCGAGGAGCTGAAAACCTTGATTCGTGACTGTCTGAATGGCGATCCCGACCTGAGACCGAACATGGACGAGCTCGCGAACAGGACATCTGTCGTTACAGAGAGAATGAAACAAGGCTACCAAGGGCCGGAAATTGTCGATTTGTAATTAAAGAAGCATCACAGCGACTCCTCTAAGTTGGAAGAAACTTAGATTAATCTTAGTTCAAGGAATATAAACAGTTCATTGCGCTGATAGACGCCACACTCTTTGAATCTGGAGTACATTTTAACACGTGTCAAAAATGCTAAAAGTTCCAAGTGAAAAGTACTACACTATCCGAAATTGCAAGAACAGTTTTGAAGTGGAAAAATACTAATGTTGATCTTACGTCGCGAAAAGCTGCACACGTTTGCTCCTTGCTCAAGATGTTCAATTTAAAATCCTGTACAACAGTTAACTTCAAGAGGAGATCACTCTTGGCTGCACTAAGTGCGAAACAAAAGTGTTGAAATAGTAATGCAAAACCGTTACGCTCTTTTTAGCTTCTAAACGGAATAAAGCTCGTTTAACTACATCAGCTTACAACAGAGTTATACTTGTATTTAAAAGTCAGTTCATCAGAGTTGACAAAGTCGTTAAAATTTGACAGCAACACCGCCGAAGTATAGAAGAAGCAAGGCAACATGAGTCGAATCCTCGATCAGATTTTGGCATATGTAGAGCTTAAAATTAACAAATCACTTTTTAAAGTTAAATTCAATGCAC